CTATGTGGCCTGTGGGTTGTACCTCCAGTGTAATTATCAGTGCTTCCCGCAGTTACAACTTTCTGTGAAAACTGCAGGCATCCTTTCAAAGACTGGCTCGAAGCAACCACCCCAGGGTCAGACAGAAAATCCATGGGGAAACTGAGATAAAAATCCAGATTTCTTGACTCCCATGATTTGACAGGATCAGGCAGAAAATCCAGCAAGCAGACTCCAGATCTGAGGACCTCCGAGTCCTGGACTTCGGTTCAAAGACCTGTCCCTTCATGGCTTATTCTTCAGCCATGCAGTCAAGCTCTGCAGAGCAGGGAACTCCCTGCACAGGTGGATTTGCCTGGATTTGACGGGATGCAATCGTCTGTACGGATTGCCAGGACCTTGTTGCTAAGCGGAGAGTCGCAGGTTGGCCAGTCTGTCTCGGGACCAGCTGAAGAACTGCTCTGATCCCCTGCCACGTAGCCCCGCATGCCCTCCACGGGCTGGCCTGGCTGTGTTGGAAACGTGCCACATTGCTTGCACGAAGCATCTCCACAGATTATATACAGAAATAAATCAAGTGGCTGCAGAGGCTGGGCAGACAGTGTAACACCCATGGAGGAAGGAGGGCTCCCAGCAGCGCCGAGAGCAGCAGGAGCAGCACCTGCCTGCCAGCGCCAGCTCTGGGCTCTTCTCCTCCTTACCGTGCTGTCTGGGGACAGAGAGAGGGACCAGGCAAGAGGATGAGTGGAAATTGGTGTGTACTTGGTGAAGGGGCCATGCGTACTTTAAAAAGCCCATGCTAATTAGTTAACGGGAGATGAGTGCAGGAAGATAGCAGGGAGAGGTTAGGGCAAGGCTGATCCTGTCCCGTGTTTTGTCTCAGGTGATCTGCCTCCTACCCCGTGCTTTCTCTAGTCTTGGGTTTGCTCTCCAGGCTCTACTAGGAGCAGGGACAGAGATTTTCCAGGACATTAGAGGCAGTGCATCTTCCCACTCTTGCTGGCTCTTTGTTTTTTTTTTGGGTGTCTCTCCTTATTTTCCTTTGCTTGCTTTTTTTCTTTTAAAGAGCACAGATTACAGGGACAGGAGACAGCAGCAGGCTGCAGAGCTAGAAGCAGAAAAGGTTCATCACCTCTCCTGTGTCACTGCACACGGATGTTGTTTCTCTTTGCTGTGCATCTGTAATATCAACATGCACAGCTGGCCAGGTTTTGTTTCCGGTAATGCAGATCTAAATCCAGACACCCTCCACTCTATAAAGCCAAAAGAGTTACTGTTAATTAGATCAGCGTGGCTGAGATGAGAATCTGGGATTAGCTTCACATTCACCCCGTCGGGAAGGAGACAGTGCTGGAGTGGCTGTCTCTCCTTGCAAGCAGACAGCCCCGCGGGTTGTCACGCGAGTCCTCTGCGCTCCACAGCAGCGCGCTGGGGGTAGCACAAGGGGAAGGTTGTCAGGCAGAGTCTTTCCCAGAGCATGGGGCAGAGTAGGGAACAAGAGCCAGGATGAAATTCAACCAAAATGTTAAAATCTGAAGGGTGATGAGATCCCTCCCCGTTCCAAAAGGGAAGATTTTAAAAATCAGAACAAAATGTACATAAGCGTGTGTGTATATAGAGACATTTCTATACTAATCCTTATTTAGTATCTTTGCTATCAGACATCCTATTGAAGAAGCATCAGTTAAAATACCCAGGGCCTAACTCTGCTCAGTGACACTGGCCAAGCCAGCATTCCTCCCACAGGGCTGTTCTTGAGCGCTGTCTTTGGTCCCTTCACTGCATCTTACCAACAGCTTCTAAGTAGCAGTCATCAGATGAGATCTAATTTTTAACAAACTTCTCCTTGCATGGGAGAGGGAGGGGAAAGCTTAGTGAATGGCAGGAACCACCAGTGTCAGGGAGTGACGACAGTTCCTTTGATTGTCCTCTGAAGAACAGTGACATCACCAAGGATTTATTTACAGAAGCTGGAAGAAATAAGGGAGATGCTGTCAGCTCCTTAAGGCAGAGACTGTTTTTAGTTATTGTTTTTCCTTTGTTTGCACAACACTTAGGCCAGTGGGGTTCCTGGTGCAAGAGGAAGCCTCCTGCTGCAGAACAAGTAACATCTGATGACAAGTGCTGAAACCGAGGCTCAGACATCTATTGAGGAGCAGAACTGGAGAAAGCGGGTCAGGATCCAGGAGAAGCCTAATCTGGCCTGACATATGGGGCTGGAGGAGCAGAAGGTGGGAGCAGGCTGCCGTGAGCTGCACATGCTTCTCTGCGCATGGAGGGAGGCACAACACAGAGATCCTTCTTGTAACTCCGCTGCAGCATGGCTTACCACTAATGAAACTGTGCTGAGCAGAGCGTGGTCAGCCATCTTCCAAAGGCGGCACATTGGCCGCATTGCCTTAGCAGTCATTTGCTTTATAGCGGGATGCTCAGGAGCATCAGCATTTGTTTTTAGTACAAGAGAGCATCATCTGCAAATAGATCTGCCAGGCCTTGCTCTGGAAGCGCATGCAGGCAGCTCCCCGCAGCAGCAGGCAGCCAGAAGGATTTTGCATCCCTGATATCATACATTGCCCAGAAAGCTAATTTAGTGCAAGCTGCCCTTATCTCATCCATTAAATGTGCAAGTGAAATGACCTACTCCCTGAATGTAAAACATCGCTACAATTGCTGGCTGGGAGAAGACTCAGCTCCTTACTCAATCAGCTCCCTTATCTCCACTTTACCAACCAGACTCTTAGAAAATCCATTATTTTTCAGCATTAATTCACGGGGTGGATATTAGCCAGAATTCTGTGATTGTACATATCCTAACAAGGGCAAAAGCAGTTCCCACCTTTCAATTATATCATGGGCCTTTCCCAGGAACCTGAGGAGTAAGGG